AATTGATGTCACTTAAATTCTAGATTCGTTGCTGGCCGTCAAGACTTTCTTCCCTGGAAGAGCGTTGCCCATTGGCCTGGGGTTCGACTCCGCCCTCACCCCTTTGGGTTCAGGCATGGACCATTGTGTGGTGCAGTCCCGCACGCGGCCCCAAGAAGACGCGCGCGATTGACGGTGGGGCGCACATGGCGCGCGCGGGTCCATATGGGGCTGGGGTGCATTCTGACCTCGACCGCAGAAGGGTGTTCGTCGGTGTCACGAGTGTATCCGGTGTCACGAGCGTGCCAGTCGCTTTGAATGTCGTCTCTAGGAAATGATTTTGAGGTTTCTCAGAGAGCCTATCTTGGGGCGCTACCGAACCTCGATCTTGGTCCATCGGGGTCAACAGAAAGTCACCCGGCCGCATGCGCACGCGACAGTCGTGGACAGTCACCCTTGTCTGGGAGTGAAACACCACGGGCCACGCGATGTACTACATATATTCGTTTCAAACGTTGGATCAGGCTTGCCTTTCTTCTGGCTTCTCCGCTCACCAACGGCAGAGTGTGCCTCATGCTAACATGCAGTGCCTGGCACATGCCTCAAGACACTGCCTGCGCACGCGACGAAAAACAACAACGGTTATAGTTTTATCTACATGTTGCAGAGATGCAAAGTTCAAAAAGTATATCGAAGCACAAATCCTGGAAGGCCATGCGTCTTCCAAATGACTTACTACAAGACCAAACGACTTAACCCCGCAGCCCCCACAAATCGACTGACTCTACACAAGCATGACTAGTTTGTCGATCAAGTGTCGATGTTCCGATGGTTTAAGCAAATCGAGAAACACATGAACACGATTGAACACGTATTTGATCATATCTGGCTTTGTCTTTACAGTAAATAGGGGTACCCAAACCAGTGGTTTTACATGTTTTACTATATAAAAAGATCATGACTGGTAGGTAATGGGGGAACCTATTTTAGGACATCATCATGACATCAACATTTATGATCACTAATCATTGCGTATCATTGACCACAAAAGAAAATGAGTCAACCACTAATTGATCATCATTAACAATTATAGAACAACAATGCAACAACGATCATTGTTGTGATCCATTGCTTTGATTGCTGGTACACCTGTGATGCATCATTGACCCGTCGCAATCTTACTCAACTGACCTTCACACCAAGGGGTCCTTGCGGAAGGCCGCTTCCACCTGCTGATTGTCAAACTCCAGGCCAGGCAGCCGTATGCCAACCACAGCCAAGCCCACGGTGCCCAGGAGGGCCCAGAGAATGGTGGCTTTCACCTGCAACCAATGATGCCAGGAGCCCTAGTAGCTTCTTGCTGCTAGTAGTGAGAAAGATCATTCAGCAAATCACATGATGGTTGTACCAAGCCATGAGGCACTAGCCATGAACCACATAAGGCAGGTGAAATTTAGAGTTCATCTATTTCGGGGAATCATTTTGAGCCATATCCACACACGGAAATATTAACAAATTATCAAGATAGAAATGCAATATTACTCAAAGGTACCAATAGCTATCTCAATGCTAGCCTTGTAGAGGTGGCTTCATGTCCAAAGGAACAAGTACTTGATCGTGACCAGAACAGTTTTTGCATGAAATGCTGCGGAGAGACCATCGCATTTGAAGTTTCTCCAATCAGAGGCAGCTCATGAATGTCGGTTGACAACTCCAGAAGAATGGGCAAAAAAGCCACCAGTGTTAGCACTGATTGAAGCATCGATGCGCCAATGTTTTCAAGCATAACAGCAAAGCGACGAGTATCTTCTTGAACCCTCTGACTCGCCCCTTCAATGCGCCGCAACAGCTGCCAGTTCTTCGTATAGTGATCGTTCATCGCTTGGCGCCAACGAAAGGTCCAGTGCTTAGTGAAGAAGCCCAAGAGTACAGCCACGACAACGTAGACTGTAGCAATCCGTGCGAAAGCCATGATGAATGAAGACACTTCGTCACGGGACACCTTGCGGTCTTTTGCAAGAGCCTTTTGCAACAAGTCATAGAAATCTCCAAACCACGAGTTCATCAGTACTTGCAGATGGACTTGGTACCAGGTTCCTACACCTATCAGCAGGATTCCACACCATGACCACAGCCGCCATTCAGAAGTGCAGTAGAATGGCTGCCACATCCAGCACGGGGTTGTGGGGTCCCCTGCCCCATGGAGCGTCTTGCCCTTGAGCCTTTGAAAAACCCGACAAATGTGAAAAGATATGGACAAGGGGAGAAACGTTGGAGATGTCGGAACTCTAAGGCAAATCTGTATCGCTACTATCATTTAGCAGCCTTCTGGTGGCAAACATATCAAAATCCCGGGGAGAATCTGGCAAGCGCCGTCTAAGGCCAATTGGACCAGTTCGCGCAGGTCACTTGGCATGGCCCGCGCATAGCTCGCTTCGCTGAACATGTAAAACCACAGACCGAGTTCGTCACTCTTTTCAAATTACTATATTCGCATGTGTCTGTCAATCCGATATTGTACAGATAGCTCGATATATTCCTGGGTCAAGGAGCATTCCACTGCAATAATTACGGGTCCCACAATTCTTGGGTTGCAACGCATATCTGATCAGTTGTACTCATCATGGGCTATGTTGTCGTTTGATGTCAAAGTCCGATTTACACAAAAAAGAAAAGCCCCTGGCCCAAACAAGTCAATAAGAAATATGTTTGTTTATCAAACAACATCCTGTGTCAAACACAGTATAATGCACTTCTTGAATCTTTTTGAAACACTCAATCTGAGGACCCAGCGTGGACCGCAGGGTCGCACATGTTCCTGGAGCAGTGTGATGGGATCCAAGATAACAGCAACACAGATATAAGATATCAAGACAATAGAACTTGTAAAATCAAAGACAACGTCAAAACAAGAGCGACAAGAAATACGAGCAGTCGCAGCAATTAGGGCAACAAAACTGGAAAGCTGCTGATCGGAAGAAAAGAGATTTGATGGTCAATGCAGCAATATCATAATGACCGCTCTGCAGAAGTGTTGGCGTTGGGCCTATGCGAAGCTCGTGAGCCAACCTGCGAACATCTCATCAAGTCAGATGTCTTGAATGACCAAACCTGCTGTGGCTGCTAACCTTCAAGGTCTTTAATGATACCTCCGATTACTGCACAATGCTGGGCCTGTCATTTTCACCTTTCTCCGCACAGTCCACGGCTGTCTCAGCCTTCAGTGAGGCAAAAGCTGGCGTTGTTTGCCTTTTTGGCACGGGCTTCTGTAGTAGATGGCCATTGCCAGCAACAAAATCGGACAAGAATGTCACCCCTCTGGGAAAAAA